CATATCTGTCAATTTTTTTCCAGGTGAGGTTCTGAGCTCTTGGAGGGGTAGTGCTTCTGGAAGTTCCTATAAACAGGAAACTCTGGTATAGTTTAGATGGACTTGAAATATTTTAGCTGTTCCACTTAATATAAAAATTCCACAAGCCGGATAGCAGTCTAGAAATGAGGCTCTAGCAGCTGAACTCTAATGCAAGTAATGATCCAAAGATAGCTATTGACACTGCAACCATTTCCTTGAATCAATTTGATAGTAATACATGTCCTCTTGCTGTATAGAAGATCTTTGCAACAATGGCTTTAAAAATTTGTAGTGCAGCTTGAGGAACATCAACAATGAGTTTTTAAGTGAAACTCTCAGCTTTTTTTTTTTTTTTTAAGTTTTTCATTCTCATGGTTGCAGAGAAAGTCTTGAAAACGTGAATGTAGTATTGTCAGTCACAAACATCCAAGAATCATGAGTCTGGCCCCCCCCAAATTATGAAATTGTCTTAAAAATCATGTGATTTTTTAAATGTAATAATAAATTTTAAATAAATAAATAATATTTTTTGTGTTTTTTATTTGCCTTTTGTTTTTTGAGCCTTTATTGTTCACTTGTCACACTTTCATGCTTTTCTTTGTAATCACGAGGGCTAGAAACTTACTTTTTTAATGAAAGTAGAGAGTCTTGCATAATCACACTTGTCTCCAGGAACACAGGGCTTAAATTAAGCAAGACTGATAAAACCACGAGAGCTGGCAATACTGGGAATCCTAATGCCTCAAAAACCAGAAGACAGAAAGAATACAAAGGCCCAGATCCTCTAAGATATTTAAGCACCTAATTCCTTGTGAAATCATTGGATTTAGGCACCTAAATGCCTGTGAGGATCTGGGCCAAAATGTATTATTTTTTAAATCTTATGTTATTTAAAACAAACTCACGATTTTTTTTATGACATATGATATGTTAGAATGGGAAAAGGTACTGAGAAGGGCAGCAAAAATGATGAGGTATATGGAACAGCTTCCATACAAGGAGACATTAAAAAGACTGGGACTATTTAGCTTAGAAAAGAAACCATTAAGAGGGGATGGTATGGAGAATAGTGAATTGTTATTTAGCCCTTCATATAAGAACATGGGATCACCCTATGAAATTAATAAGCATCAGATTTAAAACAAACATAAGGAAGTACTTCATACTATGTGTAATGTGGAACTCCTTGCCGGGGACCTTGTGAAGGCCAAAAGTGTAACTGGGTTCAAAAAAGAATTGGTTAAATTTATAGAGAATAGGTCCATCAATGGCTTAGCCAAGATAGTCAGGGAGGCAAACCCCATGCTCCAAGTGTCCCTGAATTTCCAACTGCCAGATGCTGGAACTGGATGACCGTCGATGGGACGCATCACTCAAAATTGCCCTGTTTTTTACATTCCTTTGAAGCACCCGGACCATTGGTCTGATGCATAATGGCCATGCTTATAATTTTAGAATGTCTGATCATGGGCAATTTTATTCCGTCATATGGAGGTTCTTGCACCAGGCCTCATCACTGTAGTATCTGAGCACCATCCAGATATGATGAGACTAATGGCTATCGCATTTGGTTCATTTGCTCTCTCATCCCCTGGCATACTCCTCCCCCCCCCCAACCTTGTGTTTGACTGTAAGCACCGTTATTGCAACTGAATCCACACGTGCCCACCCTAATGCCCAGGGATCCTTGCAGACACTGGGTCCTGTTGCCTGCACCCAACCAGTTACACGATTAGGACTTTAGATTCAAAGCTCTCTGGGGCAGGATCTGTCCCTGACTTGGGGTCTGGGCAGCCCTCCACCCCAATGGGGCGCCAGGCTAGGGCTTGCAAGCACCGCAGACTTCTGATTATAATGGTGGGTCACCAATCCCACCCCTCCAAGAGTGGAGGAGCATGGTCAGAGAGCAAACCTCGAACCCGCGTGGGGTGACACGCTCCCTGACTGGGGGAGGGGGGCGCTGAGAGAAACTCCCCAGCAGGCCTGTGAGACACCCCCCCGCCTGGCGCGGGTTCAGGCGCATCCTCTGGGGGCAGCAGTGGTAGCTGCTGCAATAACCGGAAGTTCCCCTTCTCCTTCCGGAAATGATGTTAGCTCCCCCTCACCAGCGGCGGCGGCTCTAGACCCGGGCGCGGCGGGTGACGGAGGCGGCGGCCCGAGGAGCGGGCGGGATCATGGCGGACGGCGTGGACCACATAGACATCTACGCCGATGTGGGCGAGGAGTTCAACCAGGTACGCGCGGGCGGCACCGGTCCCTGCGTCGCCTGCAGGGCCGCGCGGCGGGGAGGAGGCGGCGCCGCCGCCGCCATTGTTGGTGTAGGCGCCCGGCCGTGGGTTTCCCGCGGAACGCTAGGCCGCTAGCGCAGGCCGCATGCGCGGGGCCCGGCAGCAGGGGAAGAGGGGAGGTCGCGCCGCTAATTCCGAAGGGGGTAACGGGCCTCAGCCCGGAGAGCGAGAGCGGCCTGTACCGGGCGTCTGCCACCGCAGCCAGCCGGCCCGCTCCCTCATGGCGCCGCCCCCCTCTGCCTTGTGGGTGCGTGCGCGGGGGAGAGACTAGCGCAGCCAGCAGCAACCCCGCCATCTCCCCACCCCCAGAGACCGTAACGCAGCCAGCAACAACCCCGCCATCTTCACATCCCCCTCCCGGAGAGACCGTAACGCAGCCAGCAACAACCCCCCATCTCCCCCCGAAGAGAGACCGTAACGCAGCCAGCAACAACCCCGCCACCCCCCCCCCCCGAGAGACCGTAACGCACCCAGCAACAACCCCCCCATCTTCACATCCCCCTCCCCGAGAGACCGTAACGCACCCAGCAACACCTCCCTCATCTCCATATCTGCCTCCCGAGAAACTGTATTATGCAACCAGCAACATGCCCCCATCTCTGTATCTCCCGAAAGACTGTATTATACACCCAGTAACAACCCCCCCATCTCTACATTCCCCGAGAGACTGTAGCGCACATACAGCAACTGTTCAATATCCCTAAAGAGAGAGAGACTGTATTATACACCCAGCAACAAATGCCCTGCCCCCCCCATCTCTGTATCTCCCGAGACACTAACCCACACAGCAACTGGGGTGGTGGGGCTCGGGCTTCGGCCCCCTGGGGTGGTGGGGCTTTGGCTTTGGCCCCCCTGCCTGGGGCGGTGGGGCTCAGTGGACTCAGGCTTCAGCCGCCTCCGCCCCCCCGCAGGTTGTGTAGAATTTTTTGTTTTCAGAAGGGGGTCATGGTGCAATGAAGTTTGAGAACCCCTGCTCTAGAGCAATACCTAACTCCTTTATCCCCATGGAATGAGAGCAGCTGTAACACAGATACAGAGCAATGTCCCCTCTTATCCCCATAGAGAGAGGTTGTAACACACACACAGCAATGCTTCCTGTAGCCACAGAGAGAGAGATTGCAACTGTAGCGCACACACAGAGCAATGGCCTCCAGATATCCCCAGAAAGAGTAGCTTTAACACAGACATAACAGACAGAGGGTATGTCTACACTACAGGATTAATCCGAATTTAGATAATTCGAATTTGGGAAACAGGTTGTATAAATTCGATTGTGCGCGGCCACACTAAGCACCTTAATTCGGTTTTTAACCACATTAATTCGGTGGTGTGCGGCCACACTACCCCATTAACTTAAACACAGTAATTCGGTGGTGTGCGTCCACACTAACCCTAATTCGAATTAACAAAATCGATTTAGGCTCTACTCCGTTCGTCGAGGTGGAGTACAGAAATCGATTTAAAGGGCCCTTTAATTCGAATTAACTGGCTCTGTAGTGTGGACGGGTGAAGGGTTAATTCGGATTAACGCTGCTAAATCCGAATTAATCCCGTAGTGTAGACCAGGCCAGAGAGAGTAATGCCCCCATATTCCTGTAGAGCAGGGGTTCCCAAACTTGCTTCACGGTGAACCACGGCCACTGGGAGCTGCGAGTGGCCATACCTGCGGACGCTCAGGTAAACAGAGCGTCTTGCGGCCCGCCAGGCGCTTACCCTGAACAAGCTGCGAACCAATTTTGGAACCCCTGCTATAGAGTGATTGTAACACACAGAGCAACAGCCCCCTGGGTTATTGACAGATACATATAGCAACAATCCCTGTAGAGAGAGCAACGGTAACACACAGAGCAATACCCCCCATCTCAATAGAAAGAGGGGCTGTAACAGACAGCAACACCCCCACCAACTCAACCTGAGAGAGACTGTAATATACACATAGCAACAACTCCCATCTCCATATCCCCAGAGAGAGACACACACACACACACAAACAACCCATCCCCAGAGAAACTGTAACACACAGCAAAATCTCTCTCATTTCCATATTGGAAATCCACTTATCCCTTGAAAGTCTGTAAAACACATGATTCCCACCAGCACCAAAGAGGGGGTAGAGATACTGTAACATATGCATGAAAATCCTTAGTCTACAGATGGATAAAGAAACCATAAAATGAGCATGATTTCTTGCCTTATCCAAGGTCTCCTAGTAGGAGAGACTAAAATGTGGCAAATTTATCATCCAGAGGGAAGGAAACTGTAAAATATGCACTGCATTTTCTTGCACACTGCAGAAATTAATAAATAAATATTAGGAGAGAGACTTGGACTAAGCAAAACTTGTCCAGTGTGTCTCCGGAATGTGAGAGTTGGACCAGTCCTGAGACACTTGGGGTATATAGATTGACAACCCTTTTTGCCTCCTAACGATAGAGCTTTGTGGAAACACATCTACTTTTTTCCTGTATTACAGCCAGTTGATTTTCAGCTGTTTACTCTTATAGTTCTTGCTTTTTCTCCTTTTTCATTCATCTCAAAAAGTCTACTTGCCTGTACCAAAATTCATGTCATGTTCTTATCAGGTTTGCTGTAACCTAGTTACCATCTGTATTTACGTCAAATGGGCTCTGGCATTACCCTAGGTCGTCATACCCCAGATTGCATTGTTTCTGCCCCAGAGCATGAGAAATTAAATAAAGTGGCCACCCTCCTGCAGACACTTCCAGACCTGCAGAGCTACTAATGCTCTGCAGTTGGCACTTGAGCACATCTTTTAGCAGGGGGAGGTTGATGTGTGTCATAGAGGGAAATAGAGAAAATGGGGGATGATGGGGCAAGAGGGAAATAGGTGATTGTATTGGGGAAAAGTTGTTTTATTTGGGTGGTGGATAGAAAAGGAACAGAAGAGTGATTATCACATGTTTAAATAAACATTTAGACATTTGCAATTTCTTTAAATCAATTAGTCATTTTGGTGAGACTACATATTACATAGGAGTGACATACCATAAAGTAAGCAGACAATGGAGAAGACTGGTTTGTTCTCTTAGGCCTTGTCTACTTGGAAAAGTTGCACAGATATAACATAAGGTGTGAATTTAAACTGATATAATGAAATTGGTGCAAAATTCTGTAGAAACACTCCTATTCCAGCATAAGAGTGCTTTCTTTGGTGTAGTTTAAGTTGCTTGGGAACTGGTTTAAATTAAGCTGAAATACTCTTATGGCAAACTAAGGGTCCACACAGGGTTTGCACTTCGTTAACTAAGTCAATTTAATTAAGCCAGTGCAAGCTTGTGTGTAGAGAAGCCCTCAAAGTGGGAATACCGTGGCTACAAATATGGTGCAGATACCTACCCCCTTCACTTCCTTCTTGAAGCCATTGTTGCAAACATGGCTGCCAAAGAGGAGAAGACGGAGAATATGCTGTCTCTTGCGATATGTCATTGTGATCCAGGGCTACCCAGTGCTGGGCATTCTCTACAGTCATTTTGATTGTCAGGACAGTGGTACCAAAGAATATTTATTCAAGCTTCTTGTTTAGATATCAGTTTGCCATATCACTTTTGTTAGGCCTTGTCTATACTAGAAAGAGTTTGCTGGTATAGCTATTTCAGAAAACCTTCCTGGTGAAGACACAGCTCATACCAGCAAGAGTTCTTTCGCTGAGACCGCTTAAACCAGTTCCCCAAACAAAATAAACTATAACAGCAAAAGGACTTTTTTGTTGGTGTAACTGCTTCTACAGTAGGCTTTTTGCTAGCATAGGTTGGTTGAAATATGGGACTCCTCCTCTTCCCCCCCCCCCCCCCCTTCCCGCCCCCCCCCCCACCCCCCACCCTCCCCCCCCCACCCCCCCCCCCCCCCCCCCGATGTAGCTATGCTAACAAAAGTAGGTAGACTAGGCATTAGTTTCGACTGTCATCTTTCTTTCTCTGGCAGATTTTTTTCTTCCTTGCTGTAAAATGCTATTTTCCCGGTGGTTTTACCTCTGGTGATGGTGTTTCAAAACCTCTCTAGAAAAGCACTTGAAGTTTGTGACATTGTATGTAACATTTTAGTGAAGAGCTCCAGGAAAGCAGTCATGAAACTTACCGAGCAGTTTCCACTGTGTGCTTCTGATCCCAATAAAGTGGCAAATGTCTAGAATGCTGTTCGATTTTATTCTGTGTTTTCTGGATAGTACATATCCTCTCTTACGTTAGGAAAAGGTTACATACATAATTGCGTACTACCTTTCTTTCTTAGCATCTAATTGAGTCAACAGTGCTCTAATAGACACTAGCTACAAACAAATCTGCCAAATGAAAAGCAAAGTATTAAAAAACAAAACAACCATCTCTGTTAAGTCTGAGGTTTCTTTTAATGTGGTAGTAATCCTGGAAATTTCTGCTGTGACTAATTAGAGCTGTCTCTCAGGCTTCTGGCAAGCTGCCACATGGCCCAGGTTGTCTGTTTTCTCTTTGCTCCAAAAATGCACACAAGCCATTGCTGCGCAATTGCTCATGGGCCTACAGTAAATTCCAGAGATGTAGTGGGGTTCAGGTTGTTAACTCGCACCTGCCAAAGATGGTCCCAGGCACGCAACTCCCTTAGCCAACTGATAATCTTGTTAAGGATAAAGATCTGGTAAGCAAATGAAATTGAGATAATAAAGAGGTTCTCCCCAACAATGTTTAGTCATTTTGTCTTATATTGACTACTTAGCATAAACACACTCCAGAATACTAGGCCTTTGAATTGTCATCTTTGTGTAATTTTTCTCTAATCCCCATTTTTGGGGCTTTGTTCATCTCATTACAACTTTTAATTCCTTCTTGTTTGCATTTTTTGACCTTGTCACAATGCTCATTTTACTTCCTCAGACTTTGCTTATTTTTTTTACCTTTCAGACTGCCTTTCTTATAAGGTAGGTAGTGGCAGTTGAACAGTAATATTTTTAAATG